ATGGTACTTTAAATTAGTCGGCATAGCAATGAGGTTCCACCTCCAACAGAATCGAATGAAACTTCAAAAAAATCAGAGATAGTTTCTTCTAAACTTTCAATTGAACCTACAATTGATAAAAATGGAGTTGAGGTATATAATAGTGGCCCAACTTATACTCCAATACAATCAAAACCTGCAGAACCTCCTCAGAAGGTTAAACCTTCACCACAAGAAAAGCCAGAAGAGGAGGACGACCTTAGTATTCCAGTTGCACCAGGTACAGTTTGTAAAAGAGCTAGTTGTAATACTGCTTATGTGGATGATACAACTAGTCGTAATGAAGGACCTCAATCAGAGTGCGTTTATCATCCTGGTACACCAATCTTTCACGAAGGCAGCAAAGGTAGCTATGGATGTGTGATTGGTTTGCGATTGGTTTATATTTCATCGGTTAGATATTCTTCTAAAATACCTTATTTTTTAGGTTGGAGTTGTTGTTCGCGCAAGGTATTAGAATTTGAGGAATTCTTAAAGATTAAAGGCTGTAAAAAGGGAAAACATTTATTTGTTGGATCTAGTAAAAATGAGGTACGTAATTTTCTAGCTTTACAAATATATCATTTTTTGTTATTAAGTACTTTTTTAATCAAATAGAAAATGGAAGAAATCATAGAGTGTAGACATGATTGGTATGTTATCCGTATTTTATTAATTCCATATTTGTTTCTCTCAATGATTGTAATTGTTATCTTTTTATTATGTTCTACAGGTATCAAACCCCATCATATGTCATTATGTCTGTATTTTGTAAAAAAATCGATAAAGAACATTCTACTATCAATTTTAAAGAAAAAGAGGTAAGAATATTTTATTGTTTTTTTTCTTTTGATGTATATTTAACTATATTTTCATTATAGATGAGTATCGACTTAAGGACGGCCGATAGTAAAAGATTTAAAGAAGTTTTTCCACTTTATCAATACATTGAGCCTGAAAATTCTAAGTATGAGTTCCTTTCGACTAAGGTCGAAATTAAACTGAAGAAAGGTAAGTAGAAATATTATCTGTATAAAGTAATCTATATAGTCAAACAACAATTTTTACAATTAAGATAATGGACTTAAATGTTAAATAACAGCGAATGGAATTTCTTGGCCATCTTTAAGAGCCGATGAAAACTTTGGCACCGCTACGACATTTGGTGTTCAAGGAGGGAATGCTACAGTCGGTGGAAAAGAATATATTCTTGCAAACGACTCTCCATTATACGCAAATCAACAAATAGAGTAATTAGAATAATTAGGAGCAATTTATAAAGTGTATTTTAAATAGATTATTGTATGAGTCATGGTTCAATAAGAATAATTTAGAAATAGAATAATT